GGTGGGGGGCTGGGGTGGGCTCTGCCAGCTCCGGGGAAGTGCTCTGCTCCCCGGCCCTGATGCGGAGCACTTCCCCGGAGCCGGCAGAGCCCATGCCAGGCTCCCACCCCACCTTGCCTAGGAGCTGACCTTCAGCTCCTCTGCTGGTGCGCGGCTTTGAAAAGGTTGTGCACGGCCACACTTTTAGTTGTGTGCGGCCGCACATGCGTGCACCTTAGAGGGAACCTTGGGCAGGGCAGATGTGACCCAGCCTGTGACAGCTCACCAAAACTCCTTATGTGGCCCATGGGCCCAAACAATTGCCCACCCCCGTCCTAGATCCTAAAACCTTTTTAAACATAAGAAAATGAAAAGCCTGAATAAATATCAAGACACTCAAAGAAAGTCATAAGATTTCAACTGGCCTATTGCAAGTTTTAAATGTATATCTGGTTAGTGGTGTTTTAATTCAACTCTGGTATTTCTCAAACAAATACAATCAATCTCAGATCTGATTTTTTCTGATTTGCAAACCTACTAGATAGGTGCAAGTGACCAATGCAAATTCTTTGGAGTGCCGTTTTCAAGGGCACTTCAAATGTCTGAACATTTTCCTTTAAAAATCATAGTTTTATTTAAATATGAAAGACTCTCTTCATAGATTGTTTATTGTACAGTTACACTAAATATATACTCTAATTGGAGTTGCAGTATTTCTTGATTTTTGCTTTGCAACTGTGATTCCTTTACTGACATCTCTGTGTGCAGCTTCCTAGAGGGTTAGAAGATTTAAAGTAGAGTGGGAATGTTTGAAACTTCTTCTTTTTCATGTGACACATAGTGTTTAATTTGCCCCCATTCTGAGTTGAGGACAGAAACTGTAAGGTCACATTTTAATACATTATATTGGTGATGAAATAAACCATGCTTTCTTATACTTAGACTGCATGTATTTATTTTATGCACATTTTAGTTTCTGCTTCGTGGATCTAGTTTTGTAACATAAAAAATAAAACTACACAAAATAATTTGTATGTGCAATTTTATAACATATATGGAGCCTTTGAAACTTTATTTAGAGGTGAGATCGAAAAATCAGCTGCAGCAGCACAAAAAAGAAAGTGAAAAGTCCATGTGCATTTTTTTCTGGCAGACCTTGGGTTCTTGGGAGGGGGTAATTTGAAATAAAGAACAGTTACTGCCCCCCTGAGACAAAGAGTACTCACTTCTCTGATAAGGCTGAGTAGCAGAATTTTGCAAGGTTTTATGAAAACAAGTAAAAAAAAGCGAGGCATGTTTGTGTTTGTTCCAATAGGTATCTGTATATGAGAAAGGGTCCAGGACATTAATTTTTGTTGTTGTTGTTGTTGTACCCATTCAAAAACAAAGTCATTCACTATATCCACAGGTTCACGCTTTCTGAATCCAAAAGCAAAAAATGTCTTTGGAAAAAGTTTTCATCATAATATTTAACCTTAAGGAAACAACTGACAATTTCAAAGTTCAGGGAAAAAAATTATTAAGCTCTGAACCACCCTTGGGAAGAAGGAAACACCAGCTCAAAAATCACATATATGCATTCTGTAGCTGGCCCGGATTAGCACAGCTCCACTGACTGTGATACCACTGTAATCTACAGAGACTATTTGTGATTTTAAAGGTTGCACAAAAGAGGAAAGGGGAAGTGAGAAGCCATTAGGCCTTGTTTAAGAAAGTCATTAGGCCTTGTTGAGAAGACCTATAAATATTCCTTCATTTCTAACCTCCTTTTTGGGGCAGATTATTGAAAGGATGCTGAGGAGATACCACCAGTTTCCTCTGCAGCCCATGGATTTCTTTCGTCCCTCTCAAAAGTTTTCAGCCATGATGTGGTACAGAGACGGCATTGATTTAATTGGCTAATGGTTTCCTCTTAGCAAAGGTCAAATGGCAAGTGTCCCTGCTGCTTCCTTTAGTGCTCTCAGCAGACTCTGATCAATGGATTTTGTTAAACACCAACCCTCGGTGTAGTGGCACTTAGAGATTTTGTCCTTTCCTCTTAGAGATCCAGGGGAGTGGTGTGTGGTGACTGTTCATCTTGTTCAAGAGCTCTTTCATACAGTTTTGCTCTTCAGGGTTCTATTCAGTTACCCCTCCTATTGAATGCTTATGTAGCCCTGCTTGCAGAGCGAGAGAGAGCGAGGAATTCTGAGCTGCATACCAATGAGATACAGATTATGCCTTTCTCATCCAATCTGTGTTGTATGAAGTCTTTACAAATGCCTGATTGAAAGAGCAGATAAAACTGGATGACTGGAGCAGATCTAGATTTGTCTAAGGCAGGGCTAGGCAATTATTTGGGCCACAGAGGGAGTTTTGAATGAGGTGTCATAGGTCACATCAGCACCCCCCGCCCCTCCCCATGAAACAACTCACCAAAACCCGCTATGTGGGACGGGGCCATGGGCAGGCCGGGAGCTGTGTTCAGGAGCAGGAGCGGTGAACTAGGTCAGGATCACAGGGCAGGGTCATGGGGCACTGACGGCACAGGGCCGGGGCCGAGGGCAGAGCTGCCATCTGTTGCTTGCATACCCCTCCAATAGGCGTGAGTTGCGCAGGCAGGAGCATGCAGGGAATAGATTTTCCCTGTCCTGGCCCTGTGCTGTCACCGCCCCAAGATCCAGCCAAGAGTCATGTGGGTAGAGCACTCTAATCGCATCCGCCTGGTGGAGTGCTCTGCCCATGCAGTTCCTGGCTGGTTTGCATTGAGACTCTGGGATCTTGGGGCAGGGTCTCCATGGAAACTGACCAGCGGGGAGCTCTGATCCCATCTGCCTGGAGGAGCACCCTGCTCGTGTGGCTCCCAGCCACTCTCAATGGAGACACTGGGATCTTGGGGTGGGGACAGCATGGGACCAGGGCAGAGCCCCAGTTCTGCAGGCAAAGACATGTGCTGAGCACATTGCAGCTTTGCCCCAGCCCCGCACTGTCACTGCCCCAAGATCCTGTTGTCTCTCCAGCCCTGCCCGCCTTTCCTGCTCCCAACTACTGCTCCATGTTGGCCCATTGCCATGGCAGACAGGCTGGGTGTCTGGGCAGTGGGGCAGCGGCAGCCAGAAGGAGCCACTGCCACAGCCAGGGCTAATTTGCACAGAGCACAGAGATACCTCTCCACAAAAGAGATTCCTGCCCAGAAGAGCATTCCATCTTTCCAGTCTTCTATGAAATACGAAACATCATAACCAGAAGGAAATATAATTCTACATCCTGCTTAGCTACAGACAACTTTGAGGTAAAAAGACTTTTCCAACTTTTCTCTGAGCCTAATCTGCACAAAATGAACTGTTCCAAACAGGAGACTACCATACCTGGAGGTCTCCTGTGAAATACGAATTTTCATTTCTACATAGGAGAACTTTTACAATTTTTACAATCTCCTATGCCTGATGAAGGGTGCCTATGCCCGAAAGCTTGCAAATGAGGGGACTGAGGGGACTGAGGGGACTGCTCATTCTGCTGTGTTAGCTATAAAATAGAAGTAAACTGAACACTGCATTGGCTTCCTTTACCTTTCAGGGTGTAAAACATATTATCTGTAACTATTTGATCTTAAAGCAGTGTCTGGATTGAGTTCTGGCTACATGAAGAACAGCCTCACCATCTATGCACTCATCTGGAGACAAGAATAGCTCACATGCTCTTATTAACGGTTCTTAGTTATGGTCTGTTGGTATAGGATATTTCAGTGGACGATCTCAGACTACAAAAACTGCTCCCTCGTTGATTTTCCAGAGCCTGAGTATAATTCTACAAAAATTAGTTAACATAATACCAGGCAGGAATTTAACAGTAACAGGAGACAGAATAAAAAAACAGGCAACAGTTCTTAAATAAATTTAAATTAATTGTTATTCAATTTACCCAGTAAAGCTGCCCAGTGAAGAGGTGTTCGAAATAGATTGTCATAAGATGTTACATTGCAGCCTTCGTAAGACGTCAAGACATCAACCACTGCCACATTCCCATCAGCCACAGCAAAATGAAGGGGAGTTCGTCCTTCATAGTCCTGCCAGTTCAGTAGAGACTCTGTAGGAGCAGCATCCTATTTAAAACAGAATCAGAAGCAACAAATAATTATATGAGCTTGAAAGAGAAACTAAAAACTTTCCATTGCTGGTGGAAAATGCCTTCTATTAGGTAAGAAATGAAGTGTCATCAATTCAATACAGAAGATAAACAAAACTACTTATAAATAACTAAGGTTCTTTAAAAGGTATTGTCCACAAAGGCATTCTCGTTTGTGGGTGTATTTCATGTCCTGGACTTCAACCAAAGATTTTTTTTTTTACTAGCAGTAGCTGGAGAGTGTGCTGTAACCCTGCCTTGCTCATATTCTTGCAATGAAGGAATAAAGGGCAGGGCACACTTCCTGCTTCTCAGTTTTCTCTCAACAGCAGAGCCCTCTATTTATCACTCTGAGCAAAAGGGGAAGAAGGCAGGAGGGATGAGAAAATGCATGCAAACAATCAGATAATTCCAGTTACTGATAAATAACTAGGTTCTCTCCTTCAAGTAATTGTGCACACACCATTCTCACTGGTGGGTAACTCCAAAGTTAGAGCACTTATACATGGAGATGGGCCATAAAGTCCCCCAGGTGAACAGAACGTAGCTGAGCACAGGTTGTCTTGGAGCCCAGCTAGGACAACTAGGGGGTTAACCTTTTAAAAAATTAGCTATGATTATATTTATTCAAGGCACTAAAATTTTAAGTGTGGAAAACACCCAGGAGAGCAGAAGTAAACTGCAAAGGTCCTACAATAATTAGGGCAATGGGGACTGTAAGCCAGCAAAAAGTTGTACAAATAAATGTCATGTCTTCTACGCATGAAGAATAAACAAGCAAATGGTCAAAGTATGGGGATCTTTGCTTGGATATGAACAATGTAAAATTATATTTGTCAAAAAGAATGTTGCAGAAATTAAGACACAGGATAGGAAGAAAATGCCCTACTTTAGAAATGTCATGCATGAAGAATCTGGAACATAATGGCATGCCTAGTTAAGGATTGAGATACAGGTCTGAATTGAAGATGACACCCAGCTGAGTCTGAGTGGAGAAGGAAGGTGATGTGGAAGGCTTACGGAGATTCAGAGTTTTATTTTAGTCAGGTTGAGCTTGAGCTAATGGTCAGACATCCATAAAATAGTGCCAGAGTGACAGATCAAAGTTTTAGTTGGGGCAGAAGACAGGTCAGGAATAGAGATATATTTGAGTCATCCAGAAAAAGATGGTAGCTGAATTTATGTTTGCCTATGAGATTATTCAGAGATAAAATTCATACAACATCACCTGTTATAAAAGACTCTTTAGGCTAAATCAGGTCTTCATTTAAACTTGTGCTACCCCATTGCCTTCATAACATATAATCATTTGTAATTTAAAAAGAAATTTGGTTGACTATGCACAATAATATAGCAACCATCTCATGCTCTCTTACCTATGGGAAGAGAAAAAAAATCAGTAAGAAGCTTATTTCTCCACTAGACTCAGAAAAAATGGCTCTGAACAAACACCAGGAACACATCAGCTGAGAAAGGTGACACTTAAATATAAAACATGGAAAGGTCAGGGACATTGTACTTCACAGAGAAGGTGAGCTATAAATGGAAGACTCACGTAAGCAAGAGCTACTCAGTACCTACTTTTCTCTATTCTTTACCAAAAACAGGCAACAAGAATATTAGCAAACACAATATAAACAAAAAAGGGAAAGGGCTGCAGTTCATGATAAGTAAAGAATGCGTCAGAAACCGTAACTAATTTGAGCCCCTTTAAATCATCAGGGCCTGACACATTTAACCCCAGTGTGCCAAAGGAAGGTACTGAAAAAATTTCAGAGCCACTGGCAATCCTATTTGTAAAGTCATGGATGTTGGGCCAAAGCCTAGAAAACTGGATAAGGACTGACATGGTGCCTTTTTAAGAAAAACTTAAAAAAGGAAAATGCAGGGAAGTGTTGATATAAGGTGAACCCATTGTGCAAGAGGTCATCAGCAGAGATCCTGGTTTTCTCTGTTTAAAAATCGCAAATTCTCTGATTTACAAACAATTGCAAATTCTCCAATTTGATCCCCTCAAAACCTGCGTTTTTCTGGGATTAAAATGAAACACCACTATATATATACGTATCGGTTGAACATAACGTTTTATTGATACTTACAATTTTATAACAATTTGGAAGCCTACCAGTGCCTCAATCACTATAATGAAATACATTCAAAATACCTATACATTATGGCATTTAATTTTGGGTATTTTTTCATGGAAAACCAGAGCTCCCCTGTCCCCTTTGCTCACCAGGATGCAGGTCCAGCTGCAGCTGGCCCACCCCCACCAGCTGCTTTGTGGCACTGAGCAGCCCTGATATGCTGGTGCCCTGCCTATGCCATTGCCCTTCACTCTGAAGCCACAGCTGCCCAGCCCTGCTAGTGCCCCTCACTCCAGATCCGCAGCCCCCTGGCCCAGCCGGTGCCCCTCACTCCTGACCCAAGGACCTCCATCCCTGCTGGTGCCCTTCACTCCCCATCCACAGCCACCTGGCCCTGCCAGGGCCCCTCACTCCTGACCCACAGCCCTCTGGCCCTGCTGGTGTCCCTCACTCCCCACCCACAGCCCCCTGCCCCACCAACCGTGCCAGAGTGGGACCCTAGCTGCCAGAGCTACAGGGCCAGAGATCCAGGTCTGCGGCTCCCTGACCTCACCAGCAGTGCCCAAACCCCAGCTGCCACCCATGGGAGGTGGCCGCTACTGCAGCCTGAGCAGAGCACAGAAACCAGCTCTCCCTCCCCAACAGGTGACACAGCTGGACTGGAGCCCATGGCAGCGGGGTCGGGGAGGGGGAGGAAGATGCAGGCTGGCCTTGCGGGCTCAGGACTCCCCATCCTCTCCTCTTAGGGCCTCCACAGGCCAGCAGGAGAGACCCAGTGTAGCAGGGCAGAGCAGGGTGGAAGGCTTGGTGCTGCCACTGGGAGCCCTACAATACCATGGCAAGGCACCCCCTGCTGGCCCGGCAGCAGCAGAGGGTACAACTCTATACCACTACCCCTACTGCTACCAGGCAGGCAGGGGGTACCTCACTATGGTGGTGCTGCTCTTGGCAGTGGCACCAAACTTCATGAGCCCATAGCAGCCAGACTACATCCGCCCCTGCACTGCACACAAATCTGGGGGACACGTGCTCTCCATGCCCCCCCAGGAGTACAGGCTGTGGTGGGGAGCCAGACCACTCCTCTACTGAATGAGCTGCCCACAGCTCTGTCCTGCTATCTGCCTGGGCCCCACGGCCACACATTCCCATCCTAGCCCCAAGCTCCAAGCACCACCCCAACTGGGCAGCACCCCCAGACCCAGCCCTGCCCAACCTCCCTCCCTCATTATGGGGGCCTCAATCCCTCCCCCCTTACACTTACCTACAGGGCGCTGTTCCCAGCAGCTGTGGGAGCTGTTCTCCATGCTGCCTGGCTGTCATGTGCTTGTGTGCACACACGTACAAGCACATAGGACCCCCTGCCTGACTTCCCTCCTCCCGCTCTTCGCAGCCCCTTGCAGGCTGGAACTCTGCCAGCCTGCAAAGGGAAACTTGCTGTTTCCTGTGTTTTTCTCCTTAAAATGAGAAAGTCCGCATTTTACTGTGTTTTCCGTGGCAAATAGAAAATCCGGATCCCTGGTCATCAGCACAAATAACATGCCTGAACATTTATAATGAGTTGATTTTACAGACACCAAAACATTTAGGGCCACACAAACCAAATTAATCATCATAATAATAGCATATCATGCTTTAGGTCATATATATATTATTCCCCGAGGTCCAAAAGGAATTCTCTTCAATCTTCAGTGTGACACAGCTAACTAGATATATTGTGAGATATATTCAGCATCTTATGAGACATTTGTTATTGCATTGACCAAATGAATCCAGCATTTAAAAGGTCAATTAAAGGATCCATCACATTTTATATTTCTATGTAACTAAAAATATCTGAATCACAGTACAAGAAAACAGATAAAAATAGAAGAAACTTTCTTACCAGAATACATCTGACTGTGTGAATTGCACTGGCATCCTTGTGATTAGCTGCCCAATGAAGTGGGATTTTGCCTTCAATATCAGGGATTCCAATATTAGAATCATGTCTTATGAGAAGTTTCACATGCTCTGGATTATTGTAGTAGGCACTCCAGTGCAGAGCAGTTTGCTAGAACACAGCATTCACAAATATTACTAACACATATGAGTACTAATAGTCTGTTTATATTTATCTGATTATATTTTTAAAAGCGCGTAGGTTTTTATTTGCACTATTATCACATGAACTTTTAGTGTATTATACATAATAGGTATCTGTGTAAAATGTACACTATAAGGGCTAATCGTATTCCTATTGATATTAGCTTCAATGGGAGTAGATTTTGACTCTACATAGCTTAAAAAGGTATAAATTGATCAAATGGGGGTGCTTCAGTTCTAAAAAGTATTAAGTACCAATATGGGTCATTTGCAATTATTACTTCAATACTGTCATTCACAGAAAAGAAAGAGTACATCATTCCCTTACAGCAATTCTTTGAGACACTGTGGTCAGGTATGGATCCCACTTTAGGGATAGAAGTGACTTGTATGTAAGAGCAAATTTTTCTGAAAAACAGCATCTAACATATAACACCACATTTTCAGCCTGTGGGATTGTTCTTCCCACATTACTTGAAGGGAAGAAATCATGTTGAGGCCTGTGAAATGATGAATAAATACAAACAGAGGAGTTGGTTCCAATGGCACACATCAATGGAAATGAATTTTCACAGCATGCTTTTCAAGGTCATACTGAACCTTTCCACTAGCTTATTTGAGGTGGTAAATGGAGGTTCACAAAGTTTTGATTTTCAGCGACTGACATAGATAACTCCAAGTCTGAGATATAAGATAATTCCTTGGTCCATAACATTTTCTCTTGATACCCCAACCTAGGTCAAAAAACTTCACAAGTTCCACTCGGTGGTGGCTTTGGATATCATAGACCACAAGGGTACTGTATTAGGGTAATGGGTGGGTGGCATACTCCATGATAATCAAAATAGATCTGTACCTGGCTGCACTCTTTTTGAGAAGTCCTACCAATCCTTAAACATGGGATGTCCACCAAAGGGAGGGCTTTTTTCTCTTTCAAGGGGACTTTTGCCATTTTCTACAGGGCAGCAAGCTTACATTCTGGACATAAAGCACAGGAATCCTTATCTACCCCTGGATAAAAGAATCAGCGCAGGATTCTTTTTAACATCTTTCCCTTGCCCCAGTGTCTGTTATAGAAGATAGCACAGGCTAACTTCCCTTTGACTAGATTTGAGGACTAATGTTGACCTTTCTAAAGGTGGTAACCCAAAATATGAGAAGATTCACATTTTTTTATTAATTGGTGATGCACTAAAATGCCACATGAGTTGTCAAAAGGTAAGAAATGTTTTACCTTATTTTTGTCCTGTGTATCCACTTCTCCTGGTGCCATGTATTTTAGCAACAAAGCTAAGCATTTTGGACTCTTGTGCTGGGTAGTTAAATGCAAAGGAGTCATTCCTTCTAAATCCTTCTTCATCCAGTTTGCTCTACGAGCCAGTAAAAGTTTCATGAAGCGATAATTTCCCTGGATAAAGAAAAATATAACAGTAAAAAACTATTCTACTTAAGCAGTCAAAGCAAAAGATGAAAATATTTAAAGACATTCATTGTTGTATTGAAGTGGCTCAAAGAAATAGGAACCATAAAGCTTGAAAACCTCCAGCAAAATATATATTCCTTTTCCATTCTTGATGCTTAACTTTGCTTTCTATTTGTTATTAGCTGGGCGTGTCTACACGAGACGCTATGTTGCTGTAGCAACATGCTACAGCAACACAGCATTGGTGAGCACAAACTGTGATGCTGCAGGTACGTTACCATAGCAACACGCTCCCGCGCTATAGCGCGTTGCCATGGCGACATAGTAGCCAAGAAAAACTGTGCGCTACTGGCACAATGCAGTACAGGCTATTACTGTGCCATCATTTAGTACTTCCAAAAGTACTAGTACTTCCAAAAGGAAGTACTAAATGATGGCACAGTAACAATGGTGCCATGGGGGCATGTGTAGACATGCCTGCTGAGTCTATAGCTAAATTACATTGTACACAAACTGGCCAATCACAGACATGAAGTGCTGCAATATTAGGGGCTGTAGATGTTCCTGATGGTGTCAAATGTCTTCTTTATAAAATATCTCATCCTTCTAGAAATAATAAGATATACTTAATAAGATAATGAAAGTATAACAAACTTAAGCAGTAGACAGTGACTTCTTTCCATGTTGAGGTTAACCTTATTTTCTTTGCAGTATCTTATTGTTTTGAACAGGTGTAATACGTATGATACTTTGTCATCCCCTCAGTTTAATGTTATTAAAAATAAACATGGATGAATCGAGGATTTTGAAAAGGGGGCTGCAGATAGTGTGGCACATCATTACATACAGAAGGCAGGGCAGATTTGTACCTGATACACTAACCAAAGGGTGTGTATGTGTGTGTATACACACACATACACACATGTACACATGCATATATACACACGTATACATTTATTGGAATGTGCACTAATTTGTTAGATTATATATCAAGTTTAAAAAACACAACAAACTAAGCAAAAACAGTCAAAAGATAGTGTTTCAATAGTTCCACAGTCATTATAGTTAAATGCACATCTCTAAACTTCATTGCTGAACAAGGAAAGATTTTTTTGAGCCTCCCTGCCTTTCTGACATCTGACACCTCCAGGGATGAGAACAGCCTTATCTGCACATCAAGGAACAACTCATACAAAGGACTCTCAGGGACCGTGGGGAACAGATAGCCAGCCTCAAAATTTCCCTGTGCAAAATGAAGTTTATTTTCTACCTGAGAGGATTTTTACAATCTTGGATTTGTCCTCAGCCTAGAGAAGGGCATGTGTGCCCGAAAGCTTGCAAAGAAAGATATTTTTTTGTGATTTCTTAGTTGATCTAATAAAAGGTATCACCTCTGGAGTTCTAGAGTTTTACATCTCTTATTCACATTCATAAAACAACATCTAGCCTTCTTGAGTGTCTTAATGCCTCCAATTCTTCACTGTCAGTCACTTGTACACCTGAGTTAATATTACCACATACGAGTTAAGGTTTTTGGCTAGAGCTAAAAACAGACTGCATAGCTGTGAAACAGAAGAATGGCATTACTAGGAATGGCTGACAAACAGTAAAACTGCAGAAGGAAGGATAGTTTGAATAGCAGAACAGCAAGACCATTAAAAAGGAGAGAGGATCATTGATACCTGTCATGAAGAGAGATTAGCAACATTTAATGGGCCATGAAGTCAACTGACTCCCTTACTGCTGCCTGGATAGAAACGCTACTCCCATGGCCAGACAGTAGGTTTTAAAGTTTGAGTGAAGCACGAATTAAAAGGTGGGTGCAACTGCACCCCCGCTCTCCTTTGATTACCCATTACCGTGAAGGAACTCCTTCGGTTACCGTGATTACCGTGAAGGAACTCATCCTCCTGCTCAATGCAAATAATTATGATGTCATAGGGATAACGGAGACCTGGTGGGACTCCACCCATGACTGGACCACGGGTATAGATGGCTATACCCTGTACAGGAGGGATCGTGTACAGAAAAGGGGCGGGGGTGTAGCTCTCTATGTTAAGGAAAGCTACATGTCCCTGCAAGCCAATATTGGCGACCAGGGTGGACGGCTGGAGACCCTCTGGGTTAAAATCCATGGGGAACATGGCACAGGGGA